CCTCTGCCAGACGCTCCCGACAGCCGGCCTCCGGGAAGCGGCAGAGAAGAAGAAATCGATGCCGCCTGGTTTGGGGGTTTTATAGGTGCAGGCTGCGAGCCCGGCGGCACACGAGAGCGGGACAAGCCGGAGTCCAGCGGGGAAGGCGAGGCGGTGCACCCCTGGTTTAGTTTAGCAAACGCTCCCGGCCCTGCAAGTCTCGGGAGAAAGGGGCCTGGGGGTAGCTAGTGCCCGTGTTAGGGACGTTTTCTTCTTCTGCACGATGGGAAGGGCTGCTGGGGTGCAGGGGGTGCATCAGAGGAGCGTCTGAAGTGACAGAACCGCTGGATTGTGGCAGCCTTACTACCAGACGCAGTGGTTTCATCTCGGGCAAGCGCTGAGCTGTGTCGCTTTGTGATTTAGGAAAAGAAAGATTTAGGAAAAGATTTAGAAAAAGAAATATCATTCAAATATTTTATTAATGTATTTGCTGATCACCTAAACACTAGTGGATCTGGATCTTGTTCCTTAACAGCGGCAACAGGACAAAGGAGAAGCCCTCTCCACTTCCTTTTGCCCAATATCTTAAGAGCTACTCAGCCCCCAAGGTGTGGGCGCCGCATGCTCAAACTCCTGTGCCGAGGATCCGGGAGCACGGTGTGCGGAGGTGAGGATCTCAGTCCTTCCTGTTACAGCAGCGCTTGGATCAGTACCCACAGCATTTGTAGATCCAAACAGAGAATGACCGACTACAGCTCGGTGTAAGGTTCGCCACCTCTCGCCACTCATTTCCACTGCCGGTCGGTGACAGGGCAGCAGCAAAGCCACCAAAGTCCTGCCAACTTCCAGCTGCACCTGCTGGCAGCAAATTTCATGTTGGAAACCATCGGTTGGTGCTTCCTAAAAATGAAATATGACAGGACTTTAGTTCCAAGGAAGTTTTGGAGTTTGGGCTTTTTCTCCTAATTTGGGATGAAAAGTTTCCAGAGCTCAAAAATTAGCTTGGAATAGAAATACGCTTTTGCTAGCTTGCTGGAAAAAGGTAGCAGCATGCAACGGGATATACTAGATGGGATGATCGAATGATCAGTCTAATCTCCTGCATAACACTGGTCACAATGACCCCAAATCTCCTTTCCCAAGCCCTCCACTCCAGCAATTTCCATTTAAATTGGGAAGCTGAAATGCTCTTTACTTTCTTTTATCCTGGTGCCGAAATTATATTTTCATGAAGCAATAGCACCACCCAGTGATCTTTTGTACAAATAACTTGTCATGTTTCACACGTATGAGTTAAATCAGAGGCAGTTTAAGCCAAGTACCTTATTGAAAAGGACCAGACAGTGTTCATCCGGAAGTGATATTATCTGACTTGGAAATACACGAATTAGAAAAACACCAATTTTGATATCTGCTATATGCATTTAATACGCGTTCTGTCAGCGTGCAGCAGATGCCAGCCCTAAGCTATCAGAGCATTTACACTCCGATGTACTTCAACAGCACTGCACATCCTCGCTTGCAACAGCTGAGCCAGTAGCAGGCTGGCCTTTGCTTTACTTGCAGGGCTACAACTTGTAGAATTGCCCTAGGCCTCCTGAAAGGAGCTTGTGGGCATCAATTCCACCAACAATACTTTCCCTCAGCCCCCCTTGACTAGTTTGTTTCAGAGCCTACCGCTTTTGAATGCTTTAATTCAGCTGCAGTCACCTTCCCCACGCCATCCAAGTATGGATTGTGACTGGTTCTCTACTGCGTTTGAGACACAAATCATGCACGTCTCTGCAGCTGCTGAGTGTGGGACAGTCCCCGGCATCTGCCAACCAGGAACCACCTGCTCATGGAGGTACATACAGATGAGCAGAGAGACGGTCCTGGGTGTGGGAGACATGGTAAAGCACTTATCCAAACAGGTTCTGCAATAAACAACCAACTACTACCGAGTTACAGAAGAAACCAACCTAACAATCTACATTTAATCTAAGGCTATCTGACTCAATTTACCTACAGCAAAATGCAAGTTAGCTTTATTTATTCAACTATGCAGTCAAGCATATGATACTGCTAGGTAGGAATCATCTATAGCTTCTTCTGGGAGTTTTTTTTTAAATTTTTGTTAAGTGAATTTCACATTCTCAAGAAGGGCTTGGGGGCTAATTGTCCAGAGACTAAAGCCCCCTGTATCTGGAATAGATATAAGCACACAATGACCCAGGCAGTACAGCCTTGCCCCTGCTTTGGGTGGATCACAGAATCAGAAAAGTAGGGCTGGAATGGACCTCAGGAGGTCTTCTAGCCAGGCCAGCTTGCCAACATGATATCTTTGGGATATTTGTCCTTTAGCAACTGGAGCGCAGCATCCAATACCTATTACTTTGATATACTCCAACCCTGCAAAATTCATGAGTATTTTTCCTAGAAGGGTCTGTCCCACTGCCTGGAAATAACAGCCCAATGATTAATTCAAAAACTTCCCTAGTAGGACTTGGTTACAATAGTCTTTTCTCCTAGGCTGCCTCAGTAGCATGACATAAAACTTATCTAAACACCCTTAAGCTCAGTCCCTTCATCTCCCTCATTCTTCTCCTGCCTTGGCTTCTGTGTTGTTCCCACTTCTGGCTAATCCTAGAAGCCTGGAGGTACTTCCCTGAAGAAAGGCCAAGAGCACGAAGTGTAGCAGACTGTCTAAAGGAGCACATCTTGCATTTCTTCCCAATCTGATCTCTTTCTGTTACAGCAACAAGATCATGTGAAAATTCTCTAGCCACCGAGGCTTCTGCAGGATCTAGATGCAAACTCCACGATAAGATTGATCAAATTTGAAAATAAAACTGAAGAAAATTTCCTACTTTTGTCTCATGTAGGCAATGCTCAATCCACTTTTTGTTCTCCTGCCCTGCAGTAATCCAGAAGACGGGAGGTGAGGGAATGACTGCAATCCAGGCCTCAGGGGAATATGTAAAAAACAGAGAAGCTACTGGGATTTTTGCTTAAATTTGTTTGGAATCAGCCACTATTAAACGTGATTCAAAAGGAAGAGGGTGAAATAGACTTTTGTTGGAAGGCTTTTATGACAAAATGGTGATCTGAAAAAAGGATTTAAATGTTTTACTTAAGCAGGGTTTTGTTCATCAGAAATCTCAAGTCCTATTTTACTGTAGTTTTATGGGAACAACTAGGAATGCAGATTTGGTCTGTTAACAGGAAAAAAGTGAGACCATGTCTTTTGACTTTATCAACAATTTAAGAGAAGTATTAAACAACCCACAAGTCCACAATACTTTGACAAAAATACTTCCTTACGCAGTTTTATTTGCTTTGTATCCATACTGCTTGGTTGCACACCTTGTTTCAGGAAATGACAGAAAGATAGGTCTTTTCAATCCTATCATACAAAAGCAAGCAGATAGTTTATAGTAGCTAGGGTCAGGAGGGACCTGAACAGATCATGTAGCCTGACCCCCTGCCACAGGCAGGAATGAATGCTGACCCCCGACAGGTGATCGTCCAACCTCTTTTTTAATTTGCCCAAGGTAGGGGCAAGGACCACTTCCCCGGGAAGTTGGTTCCAGATCCTGGCCACCTTAACTGTAAAATATTGCCTTCTGATCTCTAACCCAGACCTATTCTCCATCAGCTTATTACCATTGTTCCTCGTCACCCCAGGTGGTGCTGGGGAGAAAAGGGCTCTACCTATTTGATGTTGATCTCCCCTGATGAGTTTGTAGGCAGCCACCAAGTCCCCCCTCAGCCTCCTCTTGCTGAGGCTGAACAGGTTCAGGTCCCTCAGTCTCTCCTCGTAGGGCCTGTCCTGCTGCCCTCTCACCAAGCAGGTGGCCCTCCTTTGAACCCTCTCCAGGCTGGCCACATCCTTTTTAAAGTGCAGCGCCCAGTACTGGACGCAGTACTCTAACTGCAGCCTGACCAAAGTCACGTAAAGGGGGAGTATCACCTCTCTGGACCAGTGAAGACAAGTTACAGACATCTTGCATTATTCCTTGTTGCTTCCATACTTTCTAGGAGACTTGAAACATCATTAACCCCCAAGGAAGTGTAGAGCACAAATCAATTCAGTTAAGCAGCAGGCTCATGTCAAGATGGCTTGTAAAGGACACATCCAATCAATACCAGGGCCTGTTATGACCACAAACAGGAATCAAATGTAAGGGGCTTAAAATAACACACAATGAAAATTTTAAATGTTAGTTCTGCCCCCATCTCTGACTGGCATGCAGCTGTCCTGAACAGGGGGCAGCAACCTCTTCCTGACACAGCCTCTGCTTGCAGCCTGGCCCCTGCTGCAGGGCGCTAACCTCTACCTGCTCCTCAGCAATAGAAAGGGGTGCATTTGGGGCACCATAGGAACAAAGCAGGGGGTGGGGGGGTCAGCAGATGCTGCAAGGGCAGTAGCCTGAACATGGCAAATGATAGACACTGTATAATTTTCCATTTATAGAATCTCATTATTGGATGGTCATCTTAAACTCATGGCCCCCTCCCCTCCACTGTTGTGGTGGGGCAGGACACCTTTCCACTTATCTCCTTGACCCCTTCCACTTATCCCCCGCCCAACTTAAGCCACGTGACACCAGTGTGCTCCCTGCTGCTGGGTGGGCAGGGGACATGCTGCGTGGCCAGCACACCCCTCATCCCCTGCCCACCCAGCGGGCAGCAGTGGCATTGCACAGCTGAGCTCCCAGAACAAAAGCAGCAGGGCTCAGAGCCCAAAACCTGCAGCCCACCTCTGCCCCACAGGGGGCACATGCCCCCCATGAGTGTGCACAGCTACAGGGAGCTGCACCCTACCCCCTGTGCCTCTGGACCACCTGTCCCAGCCCCAGGGCCCTATTCATGCCAGCCCCTGCT